TATACCTTGATCTGGTTGGTGGTAGCATGTTTACATGTGTAAAAATTCATTAAGCTGGGCATAAGAATTCATTTCTGGGCTAACGAGGAGTTAACTTCACTCAAACACACACGCTCACACCAGCTCTCTTCAGGGAAGTGATGAGATTTTACGCTTTTGTGCATATGAATTGGCCTATGATTGGCGCCTAAATGATTGTTGGTAAGACTGGTGTTAATAACTCGAAGGGCATAAAGATTAGTAAACTGTGGATAGATTTTAAAAAAGAAAACGGAGGAAGGAGAGAAAACAAGATTAGGAAACCATGCATGCAAAGGCACTGAGGTGCCTCCACACATCAGGATCCAAATTCAGGATTTACTTTGAGCATATGCTTAAGACTCTAAGATCCTCTACACCACTTTTATAAAAGACACTTTAAGCCTTCTTTTTCCTTGGTGGGGGCAATCAGGCATCTAGTATTCTTTTCAAATAATGATGTTTTTTGTTTGATGTGTTTTATTTTCTTGAGACAGGGTCTCACTATGTAGACCAAGCTATTTTCAAACTCATGATCCTGTGTCTTAGCCTCCCAAGTGCTGAGGTTACATACATGCGCCATCATGGCTGACTCAGATGATGGTTTTAGAATACCAGCCTTGACAACCAGCTTCCAAATCCTGAGCAGTCACTCAACACTCTTGCATATGTCAGTTTCCTTATATGCCAAAGGAATGAGCTGGATAAAATGGTCTGTGAAGTCTACTACATCTCAAATTCTCCACCTGCAGTTTTTCAGGAAGAACTGGATGGTCAACCTTACAACCCACTTCTTCAATTTACAAAATGAGTAAAATACCTGTTAAAAATTTTAAAACTGCATTAAACAGTCTTATTCAGAAAGCAGTATAGTATTATGAAAAAGCATAAATTGTGGAGTCAGCCAGGCCTACTTATAGTCATGGCCTGCTTCTTAGGAGGCCATGACTGAGAGCAAGTTAAGTCAGCATTTGTCTTGTAAATTAAAGGTAACATATGCAAAGACACTAGGAAGTCAACATAAAAAACCCAACACTGGCAACTATCACTTCCCAGGTAAAAAACAGCCAAGGGAAGACTATCAAATCACTATCCAAGATTTGAAATTCCTAAATTCCCTAGTATTCCTCCTAGCAATTTCAGAAAGAGCAATTAGTAGTTGCCTCAAAATTCCACAAGACTTTTCTGCAAGCTTAGCAAAGTAACCCTTAGTTCCTATTGCTGGGAGTCTCACTTCCTAAATATGAGGCTAAGAATTATAGTTCTAGTATCAGTTTGTTGTCATAGAGGCAAAAAAAAAAGTAGATAATTTAGAAACCCTACAGTTTCAGGAAAATAAGACAAGTCAGCAATTTGAATCTACTTCATCTCGGACATTATGAAGACATTAGTTTGAGCACTCAAACAGGTAACCAGAGCCAACTACTTGTAAACAAGCAAAAGGGATTCAAATTAGTAAGACAAGCAAATACAAACTATTCTTGAATCCAGGAAGAGACATAATTACTGCAAACTAATGAACTTACAAGAATCATTGCATGATAGCCCAGTGAGGCTGGAAGAGGGAGGAGCACGGGGCACCGGATACTTATAAAGCACTGCGGGAAGTTGTGTTACTGAAGATGTTTACAGCAAGGCAAGAGAAGAAAAGGCATGCCATGCCGAGCAGTGCAGAGAACATAACCAAAGGCTCCTTCAGTAACTGCTTGCAGGAGGACCACCAGAGGGTGAGGTTTGTGCTGGGAAAAGAGGGACCAGCCAGGTGGTGAACGGCTTTGCAGGGACAGCTAAGACTAGACACTGTAAGAGAGGGAGAAGTATGGGCTTTACATAAGCAATCGACAGGCTGTACTGTAAGGAGGGCACTACTGAAAGGCTGGACTCAAGGACTCAGAGATCTCATAGTACCATCAGAGTTAAGTAAGGACACAGTATTACTGTGTAGACATTCTACGACAGAGGCAGGGATTAGAAACAAAAAAAACAAAAATAAAAATGCTTTCACAGACAAGTTAAATGATCCAAAGGAAACCACTCACCTTCATGAATGTATATTCTGGAATACTTCCCAGGTATCTTTAAAAAGAAGAGGTTTCTAAAATTAGGTACAATATATAAAAACTATATGGAACTAGTTGTATTTTGAGAACCAGTTACTAACAGTATATACATTTTGTACATATAATATCACAAAGCTGCAACATTAAAAAAAAAAAAAAAAACCCAACACAGTGCAATCCTTGGAATTGGAGTTTTCATCGATTATTGACATGGACCTCTTTTGTTTTCTATATGGAAACTGAGGCGTTGAGAAACTAATGAATTATCCAAGGTCACAATGTTAGTAGTACAGTGAGCACTGGAAGTCATGTTTTATGATTTCCTTTCTAGAAACTGCTTTAATATATCACATTTATGATTCCAGAATTCTGAACAATAATTCAAAAGCCACTTTGGTACTATTAGTTTCAGCAGCGTAATAATGAAACTATAAAACTATTTTTATGGATCATACGCCTCACAAGAAAAACCTACCTATTAGATGTGCATATGTCTGACCAAAAAAACCCTCTGAGAACAGTAAGAACACGTACCCCTCACCACAAAAACACACCTTATTCTTCTTCAGAGAATCTAAAAATTCTTTTTCAAAAATCAGGAAACAATTCATTGTGAAAGAACAGATAAAACTAGAAACCTTTATGTAATTAAATGTTCACTATCTTTAACGCTGCACTTAGAGCCATGTTTTTTATTTTGTTGTCTCTCCACCTCACCTTGCATTGCCATAATTTTTTGGATACTTGAAATACCTTTTCCCTCATCAGTACAAGCACGTAGATGTGAAAATGACAAAAGGCTTATAAATAATGCACATTCCACAAATCTTCAGTGTTCAAACATCTTCATTTTTGGACTTCTCTAGTATGCACTTGTGTGATGTCTGCTCATTGAAATAAAGTTATGTAACACAAAAGAAAAAAATCAAACAGTTGCCTACCATGCCTCTGCAATTCCCTGGAAGACGCCTCCAAAAGTGGATGTGCACCTTTACAGACCTTCTTATGCTTATATATGCAGAAGCTCCCTGAGTCAACACTCCTGAGACCCAACTCTACTGATCGTGATTGCCTTTCATAATAATTCAAAAGGTAGCACACTACTCTGGTTATCAGAACAGATGTCAATTACATTACCATTCAAGGGTTACAAACAATACAGCCAACTCCCAAGTACCTGTGTATTTCTTCCTTAGCAGCATCACAGCTTGCTTATTTGCTGTCTTACTCTCCCCCCTCATGTACGATAATGACTACTCCAATGTCATGATACCTAGCAGATAATCAAAAATGTTTGTTGACTGATCAGTTTATACTTAACTTAGAAATCATGAAAGCTCTTAAAGAAGTTTCTGAAATCTACTTACTTTGTCACTTCAAAAATAGGAAAGAAGAGATCTACCAATCAATATTTTGACTTGAGCAATAAAAACCTATCTTTAAGCTCCCTTTTTCCTGTTTTTTTTAAATGACTGAAAAATCAAATGAATTATCATTAAAAAAAGAAAAACAAACTGTAAAGACTGAGGCAAGGAAAATGCTTTGACCTACCCCCAGTGCCTGCTACATTAAGCTCCCTAACCAGAATTATTCACAAACGCAGAATTTCTGACAGACCTATTTAAAACCACATACACATACATACAGGCGATTTTAATTCAATTCCACCTAAGTCTGGGCGAATCACCAAGAGCTCTGCAAGATCGCGATCCAGGGCTAACCACACCTTTACAACGGAACAGACAAACAGCATTCCTAGAACGTTTTATTAGCCATCCTTGCCAGCCTGCAAACGCCACTTTTGCAGAGATCTAGCTTTGGGACTTCAAATTCCAAGGTGTTCGGTGGTTCTTTTGGTTGTTTTTTTTTTTCCAGCTGAACTTGAAGTTGTCCACAAATGCTTCTCAAAGGACAGGGAAGCCAGAACTCACTTCCCAGCACCACCCGACTGCCTAAGGCTCAGACCAGACTTGGGGACCACGCTAATAACCCAGGACCGGCAGGGCCGCCAGAGGCCACTCCCCCACCAGACCCTACAGACCCCACGGAGCGGGACCAGGGCGCCCCCTCGAGGATCGGGGCGGAACCCCCCCCCCACCAGACCCTACAGACCCTACGGCGCCCTGCCCGCCCACGGAGCGGGACCAGGGCGCCCCTCGAGGATCGGGGCGGAACCCCCCCCCACCAGACCCTACAGACCCTACGGCGCCCTGCCCGCCCACGGAGCGGGACCAGGGCGCCCCTCGAGGATCGGGGCGGAACCCCCCCCACCAGACCCTACAGACCCTACGGCGCCCGAGGATCGGGGCGGACCCCCCCCCCCCCAGCCCACCGGGGCTGAGCTCAGGCTCACATCACCTGCACAGCAAGCCCAGACCCAAGGCGCTCGGGGATGGGAGCGGCCACGGCCAGATCCAAAGCGCCCCGAAAGCCGGCGGACCCTGACCAGTCACCGCCCCCTCCGGACACCCCGACTCGGACGCGGGACCCCGCCATACACCTCCCGCCCCCACCGACCCGACCAGGGGACCCCCCCCGCCCTCACCCCGGAACCCCGCCACTGTCGCTTCGCCCCGGGAATGCGGCACAGACGCCCACCCCCGCGCGTGGACCCCCGGACCCACTGACGCGCTGGGGAATCCGGAACGCTGGCCCCGAAGCGCCCCGGTCAACGGTCCTCGAGCCCCCCAAGCCCCCCACTGCACCCCACGGGCTCTCGGGACCCCGAAGACCCGGGACCTCCGTGCGCCTCCCCCCCACCCTCAGCCTGAAGAGCCCCGGGTCACCGCTCAAGCCGCCCCGCCGCTGCCGCCGCCCGGGATCCCACGCAGCCCGCCTCGCCTCGCCCCGCGAAGCCGCGCGCCCTCGGGCAGCGCCGCGCAGCCCGGGAGCCGCCCCCGCCAGGAGCGCCGGGCTTCCCACCTGAGCGGCGTCGGAGGGCAGGAGGACCGGAGCCCTGAGCAAGAGAAGCAGGCGCGGACGAGTGACCGGCCAGGCCTGCGCTGGCCGCCGCGGGTCCAGCTTCGTGAGGGCGCGCTGGCGTGAGGAGAGCCCGCCGGCTCCGCGCGCTGCCTGAAGACCGAGCCGCTGCCGTGCCCGCTGCTCTTCCCGCGAGATCCCAGCCACGGCGAGGGGCGGGGCCACGGCAGTGGCTCCTCGACTGACAGCGCTGGCAGCCTGTCGGCGGTGGCGGAGGAGGCGGGTCTCGGAGCCCACTGTGGCCAATCGTAAAAGAGGAAAGTGACTCGCCCCGCCCTTCGTCAATAAACCGCGGGCAAAGGTGCTGTTGACTTGAAGTAGTGCGCGGCGATGGACGCCTGCTGCGAGGTGCCCCGGTTGACGTTGCTAGGTTAGGGTTTGTTCCTGCTCGGCCGCCGTAGGTCCACTCCATTTGGGGAATGGAGTAAACTGAGGCGCTGATACCTTGGGTTGCAGCGTGACTGAAGTGTGCAGGGAATTCCCATCTTCCGGGTTGGAGGCGGACCCGCCCAGGTTACCCGCCTCGGCACATTGGTTGAGTACCGATCTCGCCTTTCCCCCTTTTCGGCCTCTCCTCCCTCTCCACCTCGAACGGGGCGACATTGTTACGATGCTCACGTTTTCCAACCCCGGCCCGGGACATCTGGTCTGATCTTCTGATTCCTTCGTGCATTTGTTTCTTCTTAAACCCGTCCACAGAAGTAAAAAGTAAATCTCAACGTGGGTCACCGGTAGAACGAATTCCAAAATCACATGAAAAGCCCTGTTTTCGTAGACCCCGGTGCCCAGTTGGGTTTGGCCCCTGCAGGGCACTAAATAAACGTGAAAGGAATGAATGGAGTCTGTGATATTTAAATATCAGAAAATTGGGCTTTCTTAGCCTTTCAGAACGACAGTCAGTCACTTCATTACTATGCCTGTCCTGTAGCCCTCATTCATCTCCTCCTCTCCCTTGCCCACCCCAGGAAGTGCCCTTTCTCCTGGTCAAGGTTAAGCCTGCACCTGTGCGGTGGATCTCTGCCATGCAGAGATTTTGTTTAATCAGCTTCGGCTGTGATCAATTTCCTTCTCTTAACTCCTTTCTCCCACAAATACACTGTGTCCCCTGTCCTTTGAACTGAACAAAACCTCCCTCCCTTTTCCTCCCACTCAAGCTGCCCTAACACCTTTCTTCTGAGAATCACACTTTGACGTCCTTGTTGTTTGGGGGCACTTTGTCTTCTTAAAAATAAAAAAAATTGAGAGTCACACTTCTTGAGAAACATTAAAATGTATTTGCTCCAGTTCCTCATATCTTATTTTTCCCACTCTGATGTTGCTTTTGTCCACACCATCTGTGGCTCTCTCAGTGGTTACAGAAGACCTCTTTCCTGATGGACAGGTGGTCTATTTCGGGGACGTTTTCTCAATGACCTCTCCCCAACCTATTGACAGTGCTGACTCTTGGTTTAGTACCTGCTGAACTACTTCTGATTCTCTAGGCTACCGGTTTTTTTTTTTTTTTTCAGTCTGCTTTCATGGTTGCATATTGATGTCTCCTTATCTTATAGCCACACCTTGTGCATAATAAGAAAAATATCCACACTGTTGCACACTTTCAGCACCACTAATTGGCTGGGAAAAAGCTGTTAGAAGAGTCCAGAGGTAGGAGACAAGGTGGTGAGGCTTGAGGTGGGTGATAAAATAGTAGGTTGGTACATTTAAATGTGGGGCAGAAATGGAAGCCTTTGAAAGAAAAATGATGTGAACCTGAGTACAGGGAAATGTGGGCTGAGTTTGGCTGCCAGTTGGGTAATTTGGTAGATGGATTCCTGCAGAAGAGAAGTAGGAGATAAGATCAGAAAAGAACCAGATAAGCTCGCAGTGGCCCACGCCTGTAATCCTAGCTATTCGAAAGGCAGAGATCAGGAGGATCACTGTTTGCGTCCAGCCCATGTAAAAGTTCACAAGACCCCATCTCAACCAATAGCTGGGCTCCAGCGGTGCCTACCTGTCTGTCATCCCAGCTACACAGGAAGTCTAAATAGAGGGGTCATAGTCCAGGCCAGCCTGGGCACAATCACAAGACCCCACCTAAAAATTTACTAAAGCAAAAAGGGATGGGGTTGTGACTCAGGTAGTAGAGCACCTGCCTAACAAGCAGGAGGCCCTGAAGTCAAACCCCAGTACCTTCAAAAAAAAAAAAAAAGGAACCAAACATTAACAGGCCTTAAATGCCTGACCAACCTGAGTTGACTTGGTTTTGTGTTAAGTGGGGAGTCAGGAACAATCCTAACATCTGTAGAGCCCATAGGAAGTTGTACAGGGAGACCCTCATATCAAATGTCTAAACATTATAAAACAAGTCAACAAACTATGAAATTTTTAAAAACCGTATTCTTTTACCTTGCCAAACATACTTTGATAACAACTTGGGAGCCAGGGATGGATTTAGAACTCTGGGATGGGACTTCTCATCATCCCAGCAGGATGGGAGTTCCTTCTGGAACAAGGCAAGTCAGGGAGGGCTGGTCCCCACACGGAGCCTTTCCCCCTTTACTTCCCATAACCAGTAAGCCCCACGCCGTGAGATACTCTCGCTTCCGTGAACACGGGAGTCCGCCTGTGCAAGCTCTTTCCCACTTCTCCCCCTCTGAAATAGTAACTTCACAGCACTTCATGAGCCCATGAGGATCTAGGGAGAAGCCTACATGGGCCCTGGAAGTGGGCTTGCAGCCATTTGGGCAGGGAATCGTGGCACCTAGGTACCTGGTGCGAGGTTTTTAGGGGTACAGTCAGCTGGAGTCATTTCCAGGGGCACACATTCCCTGGCTTAGTAAACGGGAGCAGCTGGAGAAGGGCAGGAGCAGAGCCCTCAGAAGGCAGACCCCTTCTGCCTGCCCCAAAGATGGGACCAGCAGAGCCAGTGACTTTCTTAGAAATGACAAGTACAGTCCAGCTCTGTATTGAGCATAAATCTATGTCCTCCATGCTTTGTTTTCTTAATGACAGGAACATGCTGGAAGGAAAACTCTATTCTTGACTCTCTATCTGTCTGTGGCATCTTCACTCCAATGCTGAGTTTCATAAATTATATCATTCTATGATTCCCTTCTTAATTAGATATCAGATGCCTAAGTGTCTCAAAATGTGAGAAAACAGAAGTGCTCTCAGCCTGGCATAAAGCTCGGAACACTTCCATTTGACTTCTAACTAAAAGGGCTTTGGAAGGAGAAGCTCTTGATGAGGCCTTGTGTGAAGGGTATCCAGGCAGTGTGAGTGCTAAAAGGCAGCGAGCCACCACAGACGGGGGCACCCCTCTCACCATCTGTCTATGTGGCATGACGCATCAGTCTGTGGCCTGACAGTCACGCTCTGTTCCCACAACCTCACCATCTGGTACCAAGTGCTCCCTTCCTCGTGTGAAGCACTTAGAACCACCAAGGAGCCAATGCCACCTTGGTCTCTGTTTTTGAGATCCAAGCCTAAAATTCCACTCAAGGACCCTACACATTTCTCAAAGGTGCTGTGGATAATTTTAGTCCATGACTGTGGCGCTTGCCTGATCCCAGCACTGGGTTGTACTCAAAAACTTGCAGTCACCATCTGTGACCATCCCTTGCCAACCAGCAGCAGAACAGAGCCAGCCTGCTTCTTACTCAGGTCTTACAATCTGCTGCCTGCATTCTGACCTATTTGCCAGGTGAGTACAACCACACAGCTCTGGCCCTATTTGGAAGGATGGCTTACTGGTCCCTCTCTCTGAGTGCCCCCTGGAAATAGCTGCCTCCTGACCACTGAATATTCATGAGGAGCATGGAGGACAGTATTGTTGGGAAAGGTGGTAGAAAAAGCCTGGATCCCCCAGACCCAGCTTCCTGTCTTTTTCGACTTTGGGTTGGGTTGGAAAGCTAAATTCTGTGTGAATTACCCCAAGATTGAGATAGCAGTGTACATGTGCTATATACTAATCCCTGGCCAAACCTTGACTTTGGTGTGGTTTTGCAGACAGCTAGCCACAAAGGGGGGAAAACAATAGGATTGTAGTGGCTTTCTAATATGTCCAACATATGAGACTTGATACACCTTCTCTCAAGAAATGGAGCTTAATTTCCTTTCCCATGCATGGGATGGGCCTTGTGACTCAGTGCTGGAAAGTAGACTATGGCAAACATTACAGCAGATGACTTCTAAGATATAAGGAGACACTGCAGCTCCTCCCTTGAAGTCTTTTTGATCACACACTTGGGAGGAACAGCTACCACGAGTAAGGACATTCAAGCAAGTCCACATGTGATTGACTTGGGCCTCCAGTCAACACCTGTGTGCATGAGCTGTCAGGGAAACCACAGTCCAGCTCCAGATAGGCCTTTGTTGGATGACTACAGGCCAACACTTCATGAGAGGCCCTGACCCATATCCACTCAGTAAGTCTGTCCCACCTTCCACACAGAAACTGGGTGTGCAACACGTCTATCATTTAAAGATAGTTTGGGGTCATTTGTTACGCAGTAATCCATAGCTAATACGAGAGTCTGGAGAGTAGTACAGTGTGCACCTGCCCTGAACTCCCATCCTAGTAACCATTAGGCACTAACGTTACCAAAAGAGCAAAGGACAACAGATCAGCAGTCATAACTTGCCACATATAAAATGCAAGTGTCATTACACCAAAAGGAAGTGGAAGAAGCCATTTCTTGGTGGAAACAAAGATTCCAGTGCCTTAAGATTCAGGCCCTCAAGAGCATTACAGCAATTGCAGATAACAGCAACTCTGTGCCATTTGTAGGCAGCTAATAGCAGGTCTTGAGTAGGTGAACATTTTCTTCCCAGATGCTTACCGTGCTGCACAAACCTACTACTTTCAGCCAATCTTGTGGGAAAGTATGTGTTTCCATGAAAATGGAAGAAAAAACATCCTCTTAGCTATCCATATTAGCTAAGAATAAGAAGTTGAAAACCCCATCTGTAGAGCTCTGTCAAAACAATATTGACATGTTGACAACAGAAAGTGTCCACACGAGAGAGAGCAGAGTGAGTTTGACAGCAAGAAGATTAAAATTCTTTCTGAATATAATACTATATTTCCAAAGTCTTAATATTGTGAATTAAGATTCAGT